TTAGTTCCTGTGTCAACACCCCTCAGCAAAATGGAGTAGCTGAGAGAAAAAATAGGCACCTCCTTGAAGTTTCTCGGTCCATCATGTTTTCAAATCATGTGCCTAAACACTTTTGGGGGGGAAGCTGTACTTACTGCCACTTACCTCATAAATCGTATGCCTAGTAGTGTCTTAAAGTTCAAGAAACCACGATCCTTGTTATTACAAGCATTCCCTCACCTCTCAGTTTTTTCCTCGGAATTGCCACTCAAAATTTTTGGTTGTACTGCTTTTGTCCATATCTATGATCACAAAAGAACAAAACTTGACCCCAAATCACACTGATGCATCTTCATTGGGTATTCTAATACTCAAAAGGGGTACAAATGTTACTCTCCAGTCACAAAAAGAGTTTATCATACTTTGGATGTCACTTTTTTTGAACACCAATCATTCTTTCCCAAATCTGGTATTCAGGGGGAGCATTTGAGTGAATATCAACTTTGGGAAACACTTCAAGATAATCAGGCTACCTTTCCCTCACCTAATGTCCTACCAGACCAGCATCAACCTACTCCAACTCAACCTGATTTATCACCTACATCATCCAGTTCTCTATTACCTCTTTCATCAGATGTGACTCCAGAAAACATGGTCAATCACCCGTCATCCTCTCTTCCTACAATCAACCCATCTTCGCCTCTAATAAACAACCATCCATCCTCAGAAAACACTCTACCAAATTCACCTCCTCAAGCACCAGAACTCCGTGTTTATAGAAGGAGAAAACTTCAAAATATAGAGGCTAACATGCAAAGCCAGGACTGTTCAAACACATATTCGAGCTTACTTGACCTTGAAAATCATGAAGGTAAGGACTCTATATGACCCATGAGTTGGTATCTACTGCTATTGATGATCTTGATTTGCCTATTGCTCAACGAAAGGGTGTTAGAACATGCACTAGTCACCCAATAGAAAGGTATGTTGCTTATGGGAAATTAACTCCTATGTATCGAGCCTTTGTTGCCTCTCTTGATCTTGTCCAGATTCCCACAAACATCTATGAGGCACTAAGAGATCCCAAATGGAAGGTTGCTGTCAATGAGGAAATAAATGCTCTTGAGAAGAATGGTACATGGCGTCTTGTTGAGTTACCTCAAGGAAAACATGCAGTTGGATGTAAGTGGATTTTCACTGTCAAGTATAATTCAGATGGGAGTATCAACAGATTCAAGGCTCGGTTGGTTGCCAAGGGGTTCACTCAATCATATGGTGTTGACTATCAAGAGACCTTTGCTCCTGTTGCCAAACTCAATACAGTAAGAGTTCTGTTATCACTTGCTGTGAATTGTGATTGGCCTTTATATCAGCTGGATGTAAAAAATGCATTCTTAAATGGAGAATTGGAAGAAGAAGTTTATATGGAAATTCCACCAGGTTTGAAAAAGAACTCCAATGGACGACTGGTATGCAAACTACAAAAATCTCTCTATGGCTTGAAACAATCACCTCGGGCATGGTTTGATAGGTTTGCAAAGTCAATTGTAAAATTTGGATACACTCAGTGTCAAGCTGATCATACCCTGTTTGTTAAAATCTCTTCAACAGGAAAGCTAGCAATTCTCATTGTCTGTGTGGATGACATAATCCTAACTGGAGATGATTCAGGTGAGATTTCAAACCTCAAGAAGTTTCTTGCATCAGAATTTGAGATCAAAGATCTAGGATTTCTCAAATACTTTCTTGGGATGGAGGTAGCTCGATCTAAGGAATGGATTGTTATATCTCAACGAAAGTACATCCTAGATCTTCTAAACGAAACTGGAATGCTTGGAAGTAAACCAGCAGATACTCCAATGGACCCTAACTTAAAAACAAATCGGAGTGGGGAACCAATTCCAGTAGAGAGGGGGAGTTATCAAAGATTAGTGGGAAAACTAATTTATCTCTCCCACACCAGACCTGATATTGCATTCTTTGTTAGTGTTGTAAGTCAACATATGCATAACCCTAATGAGGAGCATTTAGAAGCTGTTTATCATATTCTAAGGTATCTCAAAATGACAACAGGTCTTGGTTTGCACTTCAGAAAACATGACAACCGAGACCTAGAAGTCTACACGGATTCTAGTTGGGCTGGAGAGTTGACTGATAGACGATCGATTAGTGGTTACTGTACCTATGTATGGGGAAATCTAGTCACCTGGCGCAGCAAAAAACAGTCAGTTGTCTCTCGGAGTAGTGCAGAATCAGAATACCGTGCACTGGCATTAGGTATATGTGAGGGGATGTGGATTAAAAGGTTGTTGAATGAGTTGAAAATTGAAGCTCCTACATCTTTCAAAATGTACAGTGATAGTCAAGCTGCCATCAGCATTGCTAAGAACCCAGTTCATCACGATAGAACAAAGCACATTGAAATAGGCAGGCACTTCATTTATGAGAAGGTGAATTCGAGGATCATTGAACTCAACTACATTCCTACAAAGAAACAAATTGCCGACATCCTTACGAAGGCTCTACCTAGAAGGAGCTTTGAAGAATTCAATTCCAAGCTGGGCTTGTATAATATATACAGCTCAGCTTGAGGGGGAGTGTGGAAATATTAGAATTGATATGTGAAAATATTAGATTGATATGCATATATTCTTAGGATCTGTAATTAGTGATATGATTTTATTCTTTCCTAGTTTAGTGATCCTTTTATTTACTTTCCCTGATTATAGGATTTTCTTCCCTATAATCAATCTTCTTCTTTGTATAAATTAGGGCTTGTATCTTTCAATTGAGTAGTAGAACTATTCAGAATTTCTTACAAAAGCCCTCGTGCTTGGTTTGGAAAATTCAGTCAAGCAATTGAAAGGTTTGGCATGGTGAAAGGGAAGTCTGATCACTCTGTTTTTTATAAGCATTCTAAAACAGGTATTATCTTATTAGTTGTCTATGTGGATGACATTGTCATCACCGGTAGTGACACGGCTGGTATTGCATCTCTTAAGACCTTTCTTCATGGTCAATTTCAGACTAAAGATCTTGGTACATTAAAGTATTTTCTAGGTGTCGAGGTAATACAGAGTAAGAAAGGTATATTTCTCTCCCAAAGAAAATATGTACTTGATCTATTGACAGAAATGGGGAAACTGGGAGCTAAGCCGTGCAATACTCCAATGATCCCAAATTCACAGTTGACACCAGAGGGGGAGCCATTTGATGATCCAGAAAGATATAGGAGATTGGTTGGTAAGCTAAACTATCTTATTGTAACCCGTCCTGATATCGCTTACTCGGTTAGTGTTGTAACTCAGTTTATGGCATCACCAACTGTTGATCATTGGAGAGCTGTTGAACAAATCTTGAACTACTTGAAAGGGGCTCCAGGGCGTGGAATTGTGTATCAAAACCATGGACATATGAAGGTTGAGTGTTTTGCAGATGTAGACTATGCAGGGTCTAAGGAGAATCGGAGATCTACAACCGGATTTTGTGTCTTCTTCGGTGGGAACTTGATCTCGTGGAGAAGCAAGAAGCAGAGTGTTGTCTCACGATCAAGTGCAGAGTCAGAGTATAGAGCAATGGCACAAGCAACCTGTGAAATCTTGTGGATATATCACATTCTGGATGAGATAGGACTCAAGGCTCCTATCCCTGCGAAGCTATGGTGTGACAATCAGGCAGCTCTCCATATTGCAGCCAATCCTGTCTTCCATGAACGAACCAAGCATATTGAAGTTGATTGTCATTTCATTTGTGAAAAGATACAACGAGGCTTAATCTCTACAGGGTTTGTGAAAACAGGATAACAATTAGGAGATCTTTTTACAAAAGCCATGAATGGGCCTCGAGTAAATTATTTGTGTAACAAGTTGGGCATAATCAATATCTATGCTCCAACTTGAGGGGGAGTGTTAGACATTATTCTGATAGGATTATATTCAGCTAATCTTAAGGATTCTGTGTATATTCTGATAGGATTATATTTGAGTAATCTTAGGGATTCTAAGTATATTCTTAGTGATTTATTTTCCTTAGTTAGTACATGTAGTCTTGTATAAATAGGTGTCTCCATTTTATTGAAAGATATGAAATACATGAAGTTACAATCCTTTAAGCCATCCTTGATGAGACCATATGCAAACACAAAGAGCTCTTTCTGATTCACAGATGGATTGCATTGTATACCAGAAGATATATGATTCAACATGTTCTCCAATTTTGTTTTCACTTTTGGAGTCAGCTGCTTCTGTAGATGCACAGTAACAGGCAAAAGAAGCTTTAAGGCATGGGTTTTGAATGTGATGTTTTGGGCAATCAACTTGAGGGTCTCATAGGACTTCTGCTTTTTAGTCTCCTTCATTTTTGAAGCAATCTTCTCTACCTCTTTCTCTTCTGACACATCGCCAAGTATATCACTTTCAGCAACAGAAAGAAGATCTTCTAGACAATAATCCAAATTTAGACTAGTGGGATTTTGAAGAAATTTTGTCAATATAAAATTCAATGTGTATCCCAGAACATGCAATTCAAAACCTCTTTCCAAAGTGCCTCGCAAGACTTTGATGATAAATTGCAAGTATTCCAATCCAAGCTCTTTTAAGCAAGCTGCCAAGGCAGATCTAGCTTCATCTCGGACACTTTCTAAACGATTCTTAAGGAAGTTAGAAATACGATGTATAATGCTTGGAAGTTGCAATTCCATGATGTCACCAGGAAGTAACTTCAGCACCTTGAGGGCAACTAAACTAAACTGATAGTTACATTGACATTTTGAGAATCAGACATCAAAAATTTCTGTACCTTAGGAAGCACGTCTTTCTTGAGACAAATCTGAATCTTAGACAGGTCACCATTGCTAGTAAAGGTGCTTGACACTGCAGATATTTTTTTACTAGTGTCTGGATCTGACATATGCTCCATAGAACCTTCAATTTCATGAACAAAATTGGCTTCTGAAAAATGGAATTGGTCTAGAATGGTGCAGATAAGCCGCATTAACACTTTTTGTTTGTCTTGTTTCAGAGTCATCTCACGGAAACATCTGACAACATTGCCAAAACGAGATATGTTTTGAATTCCACCATCTTGTGAAGCTTCAAAACCATTTCACGCAGTAGACCAATCCATAGCTGACAACCAGCACAAAAATATTAGAAACAACATTACTCCTGATAATAGGGACACCCACTTAACTAGCAGGTATTAAATATTACTCCCTTAAAAGCAAGCATCAAGTTCTAACCACTGCAAGTACTCATGAATAAGAAATAAGATGCACAATTGGGAGAAAAAAAAAAAAAAAAATGGAAGACTAAAAAGTTATAGCTAAAACTACAAAACAAATACCTTTTGAGCTGCGCCTTCTTTTCTCATTGCATTTCCCATGTGCTTTAAGAGAAAGTTGTTTATTATGTACATAACCCAGGATCCAGAACACCCTTGTTCAGGTTTCATTTCTTGTTCAAGAATTTGACCAGAATATTCAACAAATGATGACAACAATCTAAATGCACTCTGCCTGAGAATCAAATCTTCAGATGACATGTCACGTATAGAATTTGACAAAATAATTAATGCATGTTCTTCTTCAACATTATGGAAGAAAACTACATTCAACTTTCCATAAGCAGAAATAATAGTATCATAATCAAGATCACCCATCTCTGAAGCAGAGGTTGCATTCAGTTCACGAAGAAGTTTTGCCTGCATGAGGTGATTAAAGGGGGTTAGGTACACAAAAGAATTAACATCCTCAGGTGGGTCAAAGAACATGTACTCAAAATAACACCAATAGGAAATTCCAAGGCGGAAATGTACCAAATTAAGTAATGATGAATCATTTCTGGCAAGAGCATCAAGAACATCACAAACAGAACCCCGGACATCAAGGTACTTGCATCATCTAGGTAATCATGATTCTATTGTTCGTTTTCCTCCTTTTCCAAGAGTGGGATGAGGAAAATTCAAATTTTTATACTAAAAAGGGTATACCAAATTGATATATCCTGTCAGTGTTATATCATGGTTACCTGTATATGTGTGCATTACATACACAAACAAGTTTGGGGGAAATATATACACCAATATTAACTAATTATGCCTACCCAAAACACACACACATAGAATCACTCAACCAAGGTAAACATAAAGCACCAAGAAAATCATATATCAGGAGAGGCAGTCATCTAAAAATAGTTCCTATAATGTATAATCCATACCTTTTTATTGGCCCATCATTCACAAAAAGATTATGCAAACTGGACACAAGAACATCAAGGTGAGGAAGCAGTAACATCTTTATAGAGTCAAAAGGTTCTCAATGAACTTAAGAACACAACAAACAATAGCTTTGGATCATAGAAAAAATATCAGGAACAAGGTTCTTCTCTCTATACAACAATGGTACAAGTTTATAGCTTCTACTCATTGCAAGAAAGCAAGAAAATAATGAGCTTGGTTTCTCACTACTGGCACCTTCCTGCTTGAAACCAGAAATTAATGGTTTCACTGACTTAAAAAAGGAATCCCAAAATTTGGAACTAAAATCATGATTTTCATATTTATTAAGAATAAATGAAATGATCCTCAAGCACAAAGATCTCAACTCCTTCGACTGCTTCATAGATGATTGTGTCTGCACAGAAACCAAGATATCAATTAGTTCATCTTTAACACCTTAAATTTCCTAGCTCAATAACCATCATTGTCATTGAAATATTGAAGTGCAATGAGGCGCATTCTAGAAGCAATCAAACAGTATCTTTTAAATCAGTTATTGGTGAACTTGGCTATCTAAAATTCTAAAGTTTTAGATGTGAAAGATAAAATAGGGATATTAATCTGAAAGCAGTTCATTAATAACAATTGATAAAACTAAAGGCAGGTGAACAAATCAGCAAAGCAGCTAATGTCACGTAATCGCACTCCTCACCTACATAATACTGTCACACGAAGTGTCATTCTCTTTGAATATTTGTGATAGAAATACCAAACACTGTAAATTAAGACTTCCCTATTGTTATAGAATATTGGGAGAATATTCTCTGTGATTGAGTATCCCATATTTTAGAGAACTGAATATTTGCTTACCATATCAGTTCAGACTCTTCTTATATTTAAGGAGTAGTTGACTAGCTCTATAGACACACAGAATGAGAGAGAGCTACAGAGGTAACTTCTCACTGCTTTAACATGGTAACAGAGCTAGGGCGATAAAAAAAAAAAAAAATTCCGGCGTCTCCTGTCCTCACCGCCGGTCCACCGCCACTCGCCGTCGTCCGGCGACCTTGCCTGGAAATTTTCAGGCCGAGCCGACCTGCGCGTGACCCTCACGCGCCACCGACAGCCGCCGCCGCCGCCGCCATGCGCCGGCGCGTGAGGGCTCTCCGGCGACCAGAAAATTTTCCAGCCGGTCTTCCCAGGGTCGCCTGAGTTCGGGGATCTCGGTTCCGGGCTCAATTTGGACCAGTTTTGCGTCGGTCTTTTCGATTCTACGGTCAGGTTGTTTCGTTACCCTTCGGCTCCGTTTTTATTTTGTGTGTTTTCTGCTCTGTTTGCGGTCCTAAATTTGTGGGTATGGCTAGGAATACGTCTGTGGTTGTCACTGATATAGTTCCTGTTAATTCTAAAATCACGGATTGTAAGCTTAATGACTCTAATTACTTGGAATGGATTCATGTCATTAAGCTTTATCTTACTAGTTTGGATAAAAGTGACCACTTGTCTAAACCTTTGGCTGACCAAGATTCTACTTGGGTACGGGATGATGCCCGTTTGTTCCTACAAATTCGTAATTCCATTGATGAGGGTATTGTTGGGTTCATTAGTCACTGTGCCTCTGTTAAAGAGTTGATGGAGTATTTGGAATACTTATACGCTGGGAAAGGGAATATTACTCGTGTTTATGATGTTTGTAAGTCCTTTTTCCGTGTTGAAAAACATGATTTGTCTCTCCCTACATACTTTATGGAATTTAAGAAGACTTATGAGGCACTTAATCAGCTTATGCCATTCACTGCTGACATTAAAGAGCAGCAAAACCAACGTGAACAATTGGCTGTTCTGAGTTTTTTGGCAGGTCTCCCTTCTGAGTTTGACACGGCGAGGTATACAATTCTTAGTAGCTCTGTCATCCCTTCTCTTGCTAATGTTTTTCCACGTCTGAGTCGGTCGGTGCAATCGCAACCAAGTGTGCCTGAGGCTACCATCCCATCCAACAATGCTCTCGTTGGCCGTCATCCTCGCAGTGGGAATGGAAAAAATTCCCAGGGATACACTTCTGGTGGTATTGTGTGTCACTATTGCCATAAGCCTGGCCACATAAAACGGGACTGTAGGAGGTGGTTGAGGGAGCGAGGAAATCCGACTGCTAATGCTGCATCCACACCTGAGGCATCTTCCAAGTTGATCACTGTATCTGCCGACGAGTTTGCCAAGTTCTCTCAGTATCAAGAATCTTTAAAGCGTTCATCCTCTTCAGTCACTGCTATTGTTGACTCAGGTAATGCAACTACGTGCCTTCTCTCATCCTCCTCCAAGTGGGTTATAGACTCGGGTGCCACGGATCATATGACAGGTAACTCTAGTTTGTTTTCCACGCTTTCTTCTCGCCCACATAGTTCCCCTGTCACCTTAGCAGATGGTTCTGCCTCCCATGTTCTTGGGTCCGGTACCATTGCGCCCATCCCTTCGCTCCCCTTGTCTTCTGTCTTGCATCTACCTAATTTTTCATTCAACTTAATTTCGGTCAGCCAACTTACCCGTACTTTAAACTGTTCTGTTACGTTCTTCCCTGATTATTATCTGTTTCAGGATCTTTTGACGAAGAGGGTTATTGGTAAGGGGCGCGAGTCTGGGGGCCTCTACGTTCTTGACGCCACGAGGCGGGAGCCCGTTGCTTGTTCGGGTGTTGTCACTCCAATAGAAGCTCATTGTCGTCTGGGGCATCCTTCCCTACCCTTGTTGAAGAAATTGCGTCCGCAGTTTTCACGTTTGTCTTCTTTACATTGTGAGTCGTGTCAGTTGTCCAAGAACCATCGTGTGCCTTTGAGTCCTAGGGTTTACAAACGAGCGTCTGTTCCTTTTGAGTTAGTGCATTCTGATATTTGGGGTCCGTGTTCTGTGACCTCTAAACTCGGTTTTAAATATTTTGTTACGTTTGTTGATGATTTTTCTCGAATCACATGGTTATTTTGTGATACAATTATCAGTGGGGTCCACTTCCGATTTGGGTCGGGTCAAAGTGGATTCGGGTTCTTCGTAGTGATAATGGGTGAATGAGATACTATTCTCAAAGTAGACCCATTTGAGTTGGAAAATGAAGGGAAAAAGTGAGCTTTTGTCCCACATTGCTTTGGAATGAAGATTTTCCCCCCTTATATACAAGAGCTCTTTTGAAGCTTGTAGAATTGTATAGCATAGAGGCTCTCTCGCGCGGGGGGTGGGGGGGGGGGGGGTGCAAATCAAATTCCAACTAGACGAGATGAAAAATGGCTTGATTCAAGCTCGTGCGCGCCGGCACCTAGGGGCACGAATGTCGTCCGGAAATTGGTTGGCCTTGCGGGCTAACTTGTTTCGGTTTGGGCTTCAACCTTTTGGAAGAACAATATTAATCTTTACTACTATTGAAAATAGTAGTAAAGATTTTGTTATTTTAATTTTGTTTATATTGAAAATAATTAATTTTGTTTTATATTAATTACTTAATATTTAAAAATTATATTAAGTATTTACTTATTTTAATTTTTGTGTTGGACATTAATTTAATCCTCCAATACACATTAAATTGCAATTTATAAGGAAGATAAAGTTATTAGAGAGGATAATTTGATCGTCACAACCAAATTTTTTCCTATATATCTTGGATATGTAAATCTTTCTCACTAAATTGTGAAAAATTTCATATTTTGCAATTAAGGGTGCGTTTGGAAACCCGGAAAATGTTTTCCGAGTTTTCAGTGTTTGGCAAAAGGGGGGAAAATGAGGTCAATGGAGAATGATGCATTAGTCAAAGGAAAATATGTATGTTTTGGGGGAAAATGACTTCCCTTTTTTGGGGGGAAGTCATTTTCCAGGGGATGCATATGCAAAATATTTTGAGCCTAATTTTTTGCGAGCTTTTGCGAGTCGGTCCACCAATCCCGCAACTTAGGATTCATGCAACCAAAGCCCGCCAATAGTTATGCTGTGCAACCGAATGCACCATGCGCATGGTGCATACGATGCAAAACGACATCGTTTTGACTAAAAATACGCGTCACACTTAAAAAAAAAATCAGGTTCGATTCTCGGCAATAACATTATTGTGGATATATAGTTATGAATTTCTGGATATATAGTTATGAATTTATGGATATTTAGTTCATTCATTGTAGATATTTACTTCATTCATTCACTGTGGATATATAGTTATGAATTTGTGGATATATAGTTATGAATTTATGGATATATAGTTATGAATTTATAGATACATAAAAATGCTATTGCCGGAAATCAAACCTGATTTCGTTTTTAATTGGGACACGCGTTTTTTTAACCAAAACGACGTCGTTTTGCATCGAATGCACCATGCGCATGGTGCATTCGGTTGCAGAGCATAATTTGCGCCATGCGAGTTGGTGGGCCCCTCGAGCCGGTCCGGGGAGTTTTGGGCAATTTTAATGAAGATGGATGATGAACATTTATTAATAACAATTTTAATTATTTACTGACTGGGAGCAAATTTTAATTAGCCACAATTTTTAATTATTTTAATGCCACATAATCATGCCCTGACACTTGTGCCTTTTTTTTTTTTTTTTTTGGAATTCAATGTTCAAAATTATAAGTAAAATCTACAAATAATATTAAATTTTTTCGTATTTAAAAATTAAAAAAAAAGTTAT